TCATTCCTCCTGATGTCCGCAAGCGCGCCGCGCGGCATATCCTTCAGACCCTCGTCCAAGAACGTGGAATTATCTTCGACCTCCCAGCTCACAAGCACAATGTTGCCTCCCAGCTCTCCTGGAGGGTTGCCCCCCTGCCCCTCAAACTGGCCATCGGGGAACTTCCGCCACCTCATCGGCTCGCTCACCAGGCTCGCTCTTCCCTGGCTCGACCTCGCTGCTGTAGGACCTGTCGAACCCTTCGGTGCCCTTGATGCTCCCCTCGCAGGCCGCGGATTCAGCGGCCCGCGCGCGTCCTCGATGGGCTCGCCCTTCAGTCGAAGAACCGCCCGGTACTTCTCCCGGGCCAGCAGCGCGTTCGCCTTGGGCCCTGTGCCCCAACGACCCCCGCACAGGATGCACTGCATCGCCGAAAGCACCCCCCACGCGCCCTCCAGCTTCTCGACGGGGCGATGGCACTCGCTGACCCTCTTCTCGAACTCCCCTCGCGCGCCCGGCAGCGGGTAGCCCAGAGGCCATTTCCAGCGTTGACGGTTTAGGGGCAGGCTCTCCCACTCGTGGAACTTGCACGTGGCGCCCCGACATTGATGGTAGTAGGCCCCGTAGGTTTCCTTCTCCGGGTTGGCCGCTCAGAATCACCCTGCCCTCCTGCATTTGTCGCCGGCCCTCCCACCGCCCACCTCCGTCTCCAGGCGCATGCAACGCGCTACCTTCCACGGCGGGTAATTCACTGGCGCCCAGGGACCGGGCTGCGCTGCAGGCACTGCACCCATAGGTTGCACTCGCGCTGGAGCTCGGACTCGTCTCGAGGATACCCAGACCACCAAGCAATCCTCCTCCCCCTCGCTGCTCTCCCAGCCACAGCGCCCCCTGGGCGCAGCGGCGAGAATAGCCCCACAAGCGCCCGCACACATGCCAGGAGAACTACGCTGGCGGCCAAATGGACACATGACTGTCGGGCTGGACTCCGCGCCACGTGCAGGCCCGACTGCACTTCGTGAAGATGTGATATGAAAATACGGATTGCATCATCGACTGGCCTAGCGTCGATGGAATCGCTGCCTCCACTCCTGCGGATGCGGAAATCTTCATCCTTATGAGAGTGCGCGCCGACAGAAACTGCCCATCCCTCAGGCCTGAACTCCACCACTGATACCGCGACGTGGCCTGTCTAGATTTCACGCATCTGAACTTCCGTGCCTGCCTTACGAAGAATGAGTTTCATGCTATCGAGGTCTACAAGAGCCATGGATTGCTTGAGGGTCTTCAAAAGCAGCAATAAAGAGACGTTGCCTTCCAACCGTAAGCTCTAAAGGACAACGAGAACCTCCGATGCCAAAAGGCGTGACCACTACTCCGACCGTTTTAGCTTGACCCCCAACACCCTGTGCCTGGGCTGGCTCATTGATCCACTTGACCCGGAGTCCCCGAACTCTGAGAACCTCCTCGAGCTGTTGACGAGCTCGAACCCCAATCAGATCAGAGAAGGCCGCGGCGTCCACCAAGGACTCTCCATTCCCAAGAGACAGCCCACACCAATCCCCAGATTGTTCAGTTTGCCCAAGAACTCCCACTCGTCCTGGCCCGCCATCTCGACCACGTCCAAAAAGGTCCCGCACCCGGCCGAGGCTGTTCAGATCCACCGAGGCCTGGTTCCCAAACACCCCGAACACAAGACTGGATGCTCTTGGGGTCCCGCTTGAGCCCGCGGGGGCTTATGGTGATCCCGATGACGCTTGCACCTGGACTCGAACTCCAGAAACTCCCCCTCTGCGTCCGGGCTGACTGCCGCGCTGGCCGCCGCGGCGCCCACGCAGAAGCCGGCTTTCGTCTTGGCCGCAGCAGCAGCCCCACGTGCACCGGGCGGATTGACGCACTCCTTGGCCCAGTGGCCGACCTGACCGCATCGGGCGCACTTCGTCCTCAGCTTGATCGCGTCAATGTGAACTCGCACCTTCCTGCCCGGGCCGTCCTGGCACTTGCTGTCATTGCCGAACTTGGCGACAGGCGGAGGCTGCACCACGTCCTTGCCCTTGCCTTTGGGCTTCCCCTTGCCGAAGCCCCCCTTGTTATTTTCGATGCGCAGCGACTCTCTCGCCGCCTGATAGGACGCCAGGGCCGCAGTCACATCTGCCTCCTCGTGAACCTCCCACAGGTCGTCTTCAAAGACGTAGACATACTCTGGGCCGTCGTCGAGTTCACTCGCAACCTCCATCGTCGGGTAATATTCCTTCACCTGGCCGGCCTCCTCGACGTCCTTTCCAAATAACTGCCTGTCCCCTTTGTCGCTCGAGATCTTGTCGGGCCTCCGCAGCGCTTTGATCACCTCTGCCTCTCGGAAGCTTCCCGCGGTCCACGTCTTGATCATATCCTCACCTTCTTCCGCCAAGCTTCGCGTGGCGCATCATGACGCAGCCGCGGGCCTCGGACGGCAGCTCCACACCCTTTCGTCTGAGCTCGCTGAAGCGACCCACCGCCGCAAGCGTATACTCCAGCATGCTCTGCCCCTTCTCACGCATCGACGTGTACACCGCCCGTTCGAGTGCCCGCGGCATCGCCTGCTCGAGGGGCGGTGCGAAGGCCTCGTCCAACAACACCAGCATCTGCTCCAGGCCGTCATCCGCCACGATCGCCTCTACCTCCATGTCAGGCACAACCGCCTTCGCCTTGCCCTCGAGCCTGCGCGATAACTTCGCGCCCCCACTTGGCCTGCGGGATGTCGGTGGTCGAACACAACAGGCTCAGCTCCTTTCTCCGCCACTTGTAAGTCACCTCTGGCTTCTCTCCGTCATAGCCCGGTGGAGGCTCTCGATCACGTCCACCCCCACGAGATTCTTCATCTTGGGGTTCCTCGTCACCGTCCCGACGCGTACGGCTCATGGACCTTCTGGAGCCGGTGGACCGTGACCGGCTCCGCTACCACTGAAAGCCTCCCGATGTCGATCGATGTTTCTCTGATTGGCGAGCACGCCCCATCCGAGCTCGCCCTTGCTCTTGCCGCGCCAGACTGCACCAGCACTGCACAGGCACACGGGAATGGGTAGGGAATCGGGAGGTCTGGGAGTCTTTTCATGAGAGTGAGCGGGGGAAACAAGGATGAACCAGCCCGAGCACGAGATGGCTTTGGATGGGACAGTAGAGCGGGGAACAGGGCAGAGGTAGGCTGAAGAGAAAAGCTGTGGGCACACGTATCGCTATACATTCACAGCGTAGATGCGGCGGCGATGCCGGCGTAGCCGTCGGCGTTGGTGTCGGCGGAGTCCTGCTGCCTGTTAAGCAGTTTGTTGCTTGGGCAGCGGTCGAGGTGGTAGTACTGCTGGTCGCTGGTTTGATGGTGGCGCTGCTGGTCGCAGTCGTCCTCGCTGTCGTCGTGCTCCTTCTGATCGTCGAGCTCTTGGTCACTGTGGACCTCGATGGTGCCAGTGGGCTGCATGGTGTCGGCGCTGGCGTCGACCCTGGACGGCCTTAGATGGCGCGCGAGCTGCATCACGTCGAAGCCGACGATGGGCTCGCCGCGCCACGAGGCGTAGGCCAGCCTGCGGTAGGCCTTCAGGGAAGCCTCGCTTTCATGAGGCCCAGGCCCCGAAAAGCCCGATCTGTCTCCGTAGGCAATCTTGGTACGCACCGGGCCCGCTGCAGGGGACTGGGGGCCGCAGAAGGCCCCCTGCCCTCCTCCTCCTTCTTCTCCGCCCCCTGCTCCTGCTCCTGCTCCTGCTCCTGCTCCTGCTCCTGCTCCTGCTCCTGCTCCTGCTCCTGCTCCTGCTCCTGCTCCTGCTGCTCCTCCTCCTCCTCCTCCTCCTCCTCCTCCTCCTCCTCTCCTCCTCCTCCTCCTCCTCCTCCTCCTCCTCCTCCTCCTCATCCTGACTCTCCTCCTCTCCTCCTCCTCTCATTCTCCTCCTCCTCCTCCTCCTTCCCTCCTCCTCCTCCTCCTTCCTCCTCCTTCCTCCTCCTCCTCCTCCTCCTCCCCTCCTCCTCCTCCTCCTCCTCCTCCTCCTCCTCCTCCTCCTCCTCCTCCTCTACCTCCGACTCCTCTCCCTCCTCCTCCTCCTCCTCCTCCTCCTCCTCCTCCTCCTCCTCCTCCTCCTCCTCCTCCTCCTCCTCCTCCTCCTTGTTCTCCGCCCCGCCTCCTCCTCTGCCTCTCCCCCACTCGGAAAGGAGTCGAGATCCTTAAAGCGGTTCGCAGAGGTCTTGGCCCCGACCCGAGGCTTAGCTCCACCCCGGATCGGGCCATCCCCCTTTTTCGAGGGTCGCGGCTCGACCAGCCACCAGGCAGCAGGCCAGGGAAGTCCTCTAAGGGTCAGGCAGCGTCGTGCCCGCCCCCCCCCCCCCCCGCGCGCGGGTGGGACCCGCGCCGCCGCGGGGGCCTCCAGCCGCTCCCCCGCCCCCAGGCCGTGCTGCGAGTCCTGCGAGGGCCGCACGTCGGCAGTGATGGCTCGCGTCAAGGCCAAGGAGGAGAGGAGAGGCCAGGCGCCACCCGCCCCTCCCTCCTCTCCTCCTCCTCCTCCTCCTCCTTCCTCCTCCTCCTCCTCCTCCTCCTCCTCCTCCTCCCTCCCCTCCTCCTCCTCCTGCTCCTCCTCCTCCTCCTCCTCCTCCTCCTCCTCCTCCTCCTCCTCCTTTGTCGTTCGGTGTCGGTGGTGCGATGCCGGGGTTGCCCCGGACCGCCTGCCTCTCTGTCTTGCGCTCTGTTCCGGCTGAACAGGCAAACCCGGGGGCTATCTGCATTCCTTTGCGAGGCACTTCTTCGCATTCAGCTGCGCGCGCCGCGCGCCGACGCAGCAGCGCGGCGGAGCTGGGCCTTTGGGTCCATCTTTCGTTTTGTTGTGGTGAAGTCACCCGTCTTCCTTCGGAGTCGTTATTAATTCTATTGCATTATGATTACTACGGGTATTATTGTTATTAATGTCATTATGCTTATGAATATTATTAGCATCATGACTCCTACTAGTATTACTACTACTGTTATTATTCCTCCTGCCCCCATTCCGTCCTTCTCGCCGAGCTTGCTCTTCCCCTCGTCGAAGGTGTTGGCCGCGTAGAAGACGTCGCGGCAAAACTCCTGGGGGGCGGGGGAAAGGCGGCGTTTCGCGGCCCGCGGCCCGGCCCGACCGACCGCGGGGGCGCATCGGCGGCGCGCCCAGGGAGGAAGGCATCGAGGCGAGGGAGGAGGAGGCGAGGGAAGAGGAGGAGGAGGAGGAGGAGGAGGAGGAGGAGGAGGAGGAGGAGGAGGAGGAGGAGGAGGAGGGAGGAGGAACACGAAAATGATCACATACAAGTGAGAACATGGGCTCGAAAAGGTGGGCGTGTATGATATGTGATGCTTGAAGCCATGGTACTGCCACGTGGGGGGTGCCGAACAAGGAGCGAAAGGGCTTCTCGGGTCGCGGCGAGCCTCGGCCACGGCTGGATTCCGCGCCCGGCCCGAGAACCAGAGCCCGTCCCGAGCCCAGCTGTCCTCATCTCAGCGCCATGGGGATATGCCGTACCTATCAGTAGTCGTCTTCCTCTCGTGAGTCGTCTTAGTATGGATAGCAGTTTTTACTGTTAGACCATGTTTCGAATTCGCATCATTAGCAGTATCATTATTAGTAGTAGTACTCAGATGTATTCGTATGAGCATTACGATTCATACTACGATGATGTATACCAGTCATGTCAGAAGTGCTATTATTCTCTTCTTCGAAAGGAGGGGGGCCCTCCTCCTGGTAGTCCCGAGGGTAGTAAGACCAGGTGCCGCCCAGCACGATGATCTCCACCTTGTCCACCGTGTGCCCCTGCTTGGCCAGAGTGCCTCGCACCAGTGAGAGCGGGGAGACAGCAGGCCCGCCCGCCCACGGCACGCTCGGCCGAGCCATCTGGCGGTGAAGATCCCATAGTTTTAGGTCGGAACATCATCAACAAATAATCAAACAATATTCAAAACATAGTTTACAGGAGGGATTCTAAAAGATAGTCAAAAAGCAAATCTAGGGAGGATGTTCTTCTCCTTGGGACCATTCTGGACTTTTTCACTGCTTTAACTTTTTCGTCTAGCATCTCCCTGTAGGAGGACACGCCCGACCTAACACTAGTTTCGGGTATGGACAGAACCCCCTTTAGTAAAACGTGGTTTAGTGAAAACGACCTCGGGCCCAAACCTGGCGGGCGCAGGCCTGGAAAGTGACGGCCGCGGCGCCCTCTCGAGAACCGAAAACGGATAATTCACTCATCGACGTGTCAGGGGGGGGCCTCCTCGCCCCATTGGGGCTCTTTTCTCCCCAATCATAAGGAACCGAACTTTATACACCGATGTTTCTTCCGGTCCCGCACTGAGATTCGCACAAGAAAACGGATTACGGTGTATACGGCATCCTGGTGCATACATTTTATGTTGCTTCTACGGGAAAACGGGGAAACAAGTATACACCACACCACCCCGACGTCGTCCCCGACCCTCAAAACTTCCTGGGATTGAACAGCAGCCCGCCACTGGGAATCTGTATGTTCCAGCTTTCGAAATAAGTGCTTGCACTGAAGGGGTCCTATAGCGGATGTTGCAGAATTCGGCGAACGTTCCCCGCCGATCTTGGTGGCAGGCTGGGTTCCCGGGTTCCCGGATTCCCGGTTCCGGGTTCCCGGGTTCCCGGTTCCGGGTTCGGGGCCGATTTCGGAAGGCGGCGAGGTACCCAGGTTACCGGGTTCCTGGTCGATCTTCTTATCGATCGGTCTCACCATCGATCTCATTACCGACTTCTCGATCGATCTCACCATCGATCTCACAATCGATCTCACTATCAATCTCACAAGCAATCTCACTAGAGATCGCATGAGCGATCTCGCGATCGATCTCACTAGCGATCTCATTGAATCGATTTCACTCTCGGTCTCACGATCGACCTTACAATCGTCCTCACTATCAATTCCACTCTCGATCTCATTATCGATCTCACAATCGATCTCAAGATCCATAGTATCAATTGTCAGATCATCCATTGATTCGGTTTTCTCAGGTGTAATAATGGTTTGTGGCTTTTCCAAGGCCCTGCGGCAGCCATGATGAATTGAGAAGTGTGCACCCCAAACATTGTCCGAAACCCTCAGGACTTCTGCCAATGTCTGACTGCTTGGGAGGGTCTCGTACGGCCTCCTGGAGACTTTGGGCGCGCTTGACCGCTTTGGACGGCTCGTGTGGCGTCCTCGGGCCCGCTGTGGGCGATCTTGGAGCCTCTGGGCCCAATGGCATATCGTGAGGAGCGCAAACGCGGCCCGAGGGCCGAGATTGCCCAAGGACGGCCCCAGCGGGGCTCCCGGAGGGGCCCAAAGGGGGGGGAGCCCGAGCCGACACGTCGAGGGAGACCCCCTCTCGGCGGCAAGCGAGGGGGGGAAAGCGACATGCCAGGTGCAGTCGCGTCATGTCTGACGTCCTGGCCCCTCCCTCCCATCCCTTCCCATGGCGTAGACATCCTCTCGATTCGAACAGTCGGATGTCGAGCAGAGCAATGATCGCGAGAGGGTACGCGGTGCATGGTAGAGCACCGCATGGCATGGCGTAGAAGAGCACGGCAGAGCGTAGCATGCAACAGCAGGGCGTGGCATTGCGCAGTGAAGCATTGCATCACAAAGCATTGCCACGCAAAGCATGGCATCGCACAAAAACATGTCCCGGGAATCCTGTGTAAAAAAACAGTGCGCGGAGGGGGGCCGGACATTTTCCGGACGTCATGAGGGGAGAGAGGAGAGTAGCATTTGTAGAATTGTGAAGGAGAAGGCCTTCTCATAAGGCGGCGAGACTTCCCAGAAGCCCGCGCATCGCCTTCGTAGAAGTGTTCTGGCGTCTCGGGGGGAGGCTTACGAAGCCTCTCAGGAGGCCGGGGGACCTTCGAGCCTTGTGAGAAGGCCCGCCCCCTCTCACTTCCCCCCATGGGCTCGCCGCCGAAGAATGTCTCAAAGGCACGAAGTCAGTCGGACCCCCGCAGTGTCTGCCTCCTGGGGCCACCTCTGGGACTCTCCTAAGGCCCTCTGTGAGCGCCGTAGGGGGCCCGTCGGGCCGTGTTGGAGCCTTCTTCGGGGCGTCTTGGGCCGTCTTGGGCCGTCTTGAAGCTAACCCTGGGTCGCCCTGGGACCTTCCTGGACAGCTCGGGAGCTTCCCTGGGACCTTCTCGGGCAATTCTGAGGGATCTAGGCGCGCTTGCCTGCTCTGGACGGCTCGTGCGGCGTCTTCGGGCCCGCTGTGGGCGGTCTTGGAGTCTCGGGGCTCAATGGCACATCGTGAGGAGCGCCGGCGGTGGGGGGGGTCGCTCGGAGCCTTCTGGAGGAGCCTCGAGGGGACCTCCTCGGGCGAGTCTGAGGGATCTGGGCGTGTGGTGGTGGGCGGCAGTTACCAGCCTCGAACGTAACCCTATCCCTAAGATTGACACGCCACAAGGCGATGTCAATCTTGGGGATTCGCCCTCAAAAGATAAGGAAATCCCTAAGATTGGCATCGTGATGAGGAGATGCCGAGCATAGGGATAGGGAGATGTTCCGGGCTGGTAAGGCAGGGGCGTCCAGGACTCCGAAGTCGCCTATGGGGACGCCGGCGGATTTTGGCGCGCCGGGCCCTCGAGAGGACGGCCTGCGGCACTCCGAGCACCAGAAGACACCTCGGCCTGGGGCACCTCCGGCCTCGAGGCACCTCCGGCCTCGGGGCACTCCACCTCGTGCGGAAGGCATTAGAAGAAAGAAAAAAACACATGAACATACAGTCGAGGCGTTGACCTAAGGAACACTAAATAAGCAACGAGGCCCCTATTTTCCATAAGTTGAACTTCGATTTCGCATCGAAAATCTAAGGAACATCCAAGGCAAGCTGCGAAACAATTAAGGAACACGGAGCCCCTCCCCAACCAAAAGGGTTCCTTCTTCAGGGCCCCGACTGTAGAAGAAGGGAAAAAAACACATGAACATAACCTTTTGGCACTCCGCGCGGACTTCCTGGATCTGCGCCGGACCCCCCCTCCCTGGCGCGCGGAGCGCGCCAGGGGGCGGCGGCCCTGGAGGCGCCGCCAGGGGGGCCCAGCGCGGATCCAAGAAACCCGCGCGGAGCGCCTGAAGGTTATGTTCATGTGGATGATTCTTCTTCGACGCATGGCGGCGGATCAGTTTCTAATGTGTAGTATTGCTCTCGGAGCCTCCCGGAGGAACCCTCTGAAGGCTCCGCCAGGAGGCCCCAAGAGCCAACCCAAAAGAAGCTGAACCCAGCGCTCTTGGCGCCTTCTTGGGGCGTCGCGGGGCGTCTTGGGGCTTCCCTGGGTCCTCCTCCTCCTCATCCTCCTCCTCCTCGCCCTCCTCCTCCTCGTCCTCCTCCTCCTCCTCCTCCTCCTCGGCCTCCGCCTCCTCCTCCTCTTCCTCTCCTCCTCCTCCTCCTCCTCCTCCTCCTCTCCTCCTCCTCCTCCTCCTCCTCCTCCTGCCCTTTCCTCCTCCTCCTCCTCCTCCTCCTCCCTCCCTCCCTCCTCCCTCCCTCCCTCCCTCCCTCCCTCCCTTCCCTCCTGCCACCTCCTCACCCTCCCCCCTCCTCCACCTCCTCCTCCCTCCTCGGCCTCCCCCATCCTCTTCTCTCCTCCTCCTCCTCCTCTCCTCCTCCTCCTCCTCCTCCTCCTCCTCCTCCTCCTCCCTCCTCCTCCTCTGCCTCCTCCTCCTCCTCCTCCTCCTCCTCCTCCTCCTCCTCCTCCGCCTCCTCCTCCTCTCTTCCTCCTCCTCCTCCTCCTCCTCCTCCTCCTCCTCCTTATGGCTTCCCCCCACCCCCCAGCTCGCCGCCGACACTCCCCCCAAGAGGGCCCCCGAGACCGCGGGCCCCACGAGGAGGCTCTCGCAGGGAGGCCCTCACAAGAGCACGAGCCCAGAGAGCGCGTGCCTACGACCCAGACGCGGAGGCCGGATACAGCAGGAGCTCGACCACAAGAGACCCTCCACAGGAAGCCCAGCCCTGAGACCCCAAGATGTCCATGGATTTTGGGTAGAGGGACGTCACGTCTTCCATCGCAGAACCATCAAAGCCCAAGAGACCCAGGGCACACTGGAGGCAAGCATGGTATTTCTTGGCATGGGCTTCCTCTGCAGGCACACGGCCAAGATGACGCGTGACGACGGGAGCGTGCAGGCGTCCAGAGCTGCCAGACCAGTTGACACGACGCACTGAATGGAGCCCGGGGCCCGAAGACGTGCGGGGGTCCAAAGAGAAGAGCGAAACCTGCCGCGTGTGATGCACGGGCGGAGGGAATCGGATTGGTCATCCGGGCGGGGGGAGGAAGTGGACGCGTGGCGATGCAGGTATATGAATATATGTATCTTACAAGTTCAACAGACCAGGTGTCGTGTGGCGTTGGATGGAATGGTGCGAAGCAATCGCTCGTGCAAACGGTCGTGCAATGGCAAAGCAGGCGCAAGCGCCGTCACGGAAGGAGTCATGCATGTGGTTGCAGGGATGGCCGCGTGGCAATGAAGGCCCAAAGGCGTGCAGATGCGTCAGATCGGTTGTCACGACGCGGTGGTTGGGGTGCTGCGAGACAGTGACTCTCGAAGGCGCCCATGCAAGGGCCCAGGGGCCTTCAGGGCGGTGGGGCGGTGGCGGAAGAGTGCTACGTAATGGAGCAGCGGCCGAAGGCCACAGAGGATTGCGGACGGAGCGTTCAAAGAGCCAGAGCTACAGTTTCGATCTCTCCATCTCTCCTTCCTCCTCCTCCTCCTCCTCCTCCTCCTCCTCCTCCTCCTCCTCCTCCTCCTCCTCCTCCTCCTCCTCCTCCTCCTCCTCCTCCTCCTCCGCCTCCGCCTCCTCATCATCATCATCCTTACCCTCCTTCTACATCTCCTCCTCCTCCTCCTCATCATCCGCCTCCATCTCCATGTTCCTCCTCCTCTTCCTCCTCCTCATCCTCCTCCTATGCTCAGGGTTGTCATGGTTACGTCTTCATCATGGTCCATCTCATCCTTTCTCCGCTTCCTCCTTTCCCCCCTTGTATCCCTCCCTCCCTCCTTCCCTCCCTTCCTCCTCCTCCCGCCGCGCGTCCGCCACCGGAACCATCTCTGAGGCCTCTTGGGGCGATTGGGGCCACCTTGGGTGCCTCCCAGAGGCCTCTCTGGCAGTCTTGAGTCAGCTGAGACGTCTCGGGGCACTCTTGGGCCGTCTCGGGGCCCTCCTCGGCGATCTTCGGTTCTCTCGAGCCGTCTCCAGGCCCTCTCGGATGCCCTCTCAGCGCTCTGTGGGCTCTTGGGCCGTCTTGGGGCTCCCAAACCGAAGTCTTGGTTGTTAGAAGCGCGAACTCGCGAGAATGTCAAAATCGTGGTAGATCATAGCGGAATCAAAGAATACTGCACGTTGAGCTCTCTCACGGGTCCCCTCGGGGCCCATTGGAAGCGTCTTGCGGACGCCTTGGGCCATCTTGAGGCCATCGTGAGCCGTCTCGGAGCATTCCTGGGCCGTCTTGACGCCCTCTTTGGCCCCTCTTAGGCCGTCTTCGGGCTGTCCTGGGCCGTTTGCGGCCGTGTAGCTCTCTTGGCAACTCCTGAGGCAAAGTATCTTGGGCCATGTTGACGCTCTCTTGAGGGTGTACTGGGCCGTCTTGGGGTGATCTGGGAGGCGCCCGGACCTGTCTTGGGCAATCAGCAGCGCGAGAATAGCCAAATGTATTCAATATCGCATGTGGAATTACAGAAGTGTGTCTGATGGAGTCGGGGATCTTCTGACCCGGGTCAATCCAGACCCGGGTCAGCAGGAAACCAAAAACTGCAATGCAGGGAAAAAGAACTGCAACGCAGGTCCTCGCAAACCCGGGTCAGCCAATACGCGCGGCCGCCTCGCGGCCACGAGCGGCTCCCTGACCCGGGTCAGCCAGAGGGGGCCTTCGCAGGATCCTGCAGGATCCGGCGCCCTGGCTGACCCCCGTTTGCACTGACCCCCGTCTCGAGGCTCCCGATGGAGCTCTCTTGTGAGTCCTCCGGGGACTGTTTAGGGTCGTCTTGCGGACGCTCTTGGGCAGCTTGAGGCTTGGGCCTCTCTCGGGCCGTCTTTAACTTGTCGTTGGCAGTCTTGGGGAAATGTTGGGGCCTTCTTTGGCAGTCCTGGCGCTATCTTAGACCATCTTGGGGCCCTAATGGAGGCGTCTTGGGCCGTCTTGGAGAAGATCTGAAAGGCTCTCTTGGGCCGTCTTGGGGCGATGGGTCTGTTGGGCCGTCTTAGGGCCCTCTTGGGCTGTCGGGGGGCTCTCCTGGGCCGTCTTGAGGGCATCTTGGGCCGTCCTGATATCTTGGGTTGTTTATATCACTTGGAAAGTCCTGGAGCTATCTTGGGCCAACCTGGGGCCCCTTCGGGGGTGTCTTGGGCCGTCTCAGGGCAATCCAAAAGGCTCTCATACCTGTCTTGGGCTGTCGGAAACCCGCAATAGCGGTTTCAGGTTCAGGTTCAGCCTGCGTGCAAGCTCCGCGGGAGCGGTCACCTTAAGGGCAGACGGTGCCCACAGCTACACACTACATGAGATGCAGAATACATTATCCAGAATGCTGCGTGCACTACAACAAAACACTGCGCATCTGTCACGTGATCCCCATTCTACCCTACGTGCTCTGCAACAGCATAGCGAGAAGGTCAAAACCATTCCAACAAATTTGGCGACCGATTAATTGTGCCTCTTGGGGTGCTCTTGCGGGTCATCCAGGGGGGGGGCAGTGTCTTTCCGACGCCTGGGGCCGTCTTGAAGCCGTCCTGTGCCGTCGTGGAGAGCTCTCGGTCGTCTGTCTTAAGGTTCCTTGAGACTCTCTTACGTAGGCCGTATTCGGGCTGTCCTGGGCCGTCTGGGGGGCATCTTCGGGATCTCTTGAGCGCACCCTGACCACGCTTGGAGCGCACCCGGCCCCCGGCATCAGCATTTGTCACGGGGTCCCCGCTGGGGCACCCCGCCCTGGTCTCCCAGTGCATCATGTCGCTTTAAGTTAGCTAAGTAATTCCTACTCCATCCTCCTGTTCCTTCCTCCTCCTCCTCCTCCTCCTCCTTCTCCTCCTCCTCCTCCTCCTCACCCTCGCATCCTCCTCCTCCCTCCCTCCCTCCCTCCCTGAGATCCTATATGGCAAGAAGCGGCAACACCACGAAAGAGCACGACTGGAGCCCCAGACCGCATCTCCCTGTGGCAAGTCTCGAGCCGGAGCGAGCTGCGACGGTCCCAGGGCCCAACGTGGGGCGAAGACGCCCGTGGTGGGGAAAGAACGAGACGCCAGGATCTCAGGGCTCCTCTAGGCGGCGGGCGAGGGGGAGAAGTGAGAAGGGGCGGGCCTTCTCAGAAGGCTCCGAAGTCCCTGGGCCTTCAGAGAAGTGTTTTAAGTCTTCCCCGAAGACAGAAAAAACTTCTCAGAAGGCGCGAGGGCTTCTGAGAAGTCCCGCCGCCTTCTGAGAGGGCCTTCTCCTTCTCATTTCCCCCCCTCGCTGGCCGCCGATCCTCGGCGAGGACCCGAGGAGGTCCCCCAAAGGCAGGGCGGGCGCGGGCCTGCCCGGTCGTAGAACTGCCTGGGGCGGCGATGGCGAGGGCGGGACGATCCCCGCTGAGGGGTAACTGCTGAGGCCTGGACGCCCGGAGTGGGTACAGTCGGACTCGATGGGACAGGACACGCGAGAGGACAGAAGACCCTTCCGAGGGCCACATTGCCACAGGAGTGTAGGAAACATGGGTCGCGAGACATAGGACACGAGGGTACCCCTGATTTGGCAGGATTGACTTACTAATCAGTGACGACTGCATGGAGGAAGCAGGTACGATGCCCAACAGCTCAAGATGCCCAAGACCGACCGCGGCCGCTGCTGGGCAGGCGGCTCTCTGTCTCAGATGGACAGCGTCCGCAGCGACACCGACAGCGAGCCTGGTCCTAAACAGGGCTGAACCTACTCGGTGTTTTTCGTGTTCGTGTTGTTGTCGTTTTCCCTCGTGTTGTCTTCAATCCACCTCTACCGCAAAACGAAGTCGAACTGGAAACGGCCCACGAAATCGCCAAAGCACCGTCTAGGTCCAGCCCTGGTCCTAAACGACATGAACAGGTGCTGCTGTCGGTCTTCGTGCCAATTCTTTCCGTACCATTTTCGATCGTACCGAACAGGCTGACTCGGGCAGCCATCAGGTAAAAATGATATTTCCATTCTATCGTGATCTTCATCGTCACGTTGAGACGAAGCAGGGACGAGGATACAATCGGGTGAGGGTAAATCGAGAATCTCTCAGATCCGGCGGTTTTGGAGGGTGTCTCGGGCGCCGCGGCCTTCTCGGAACGCTCTGAGAACATTCCGGAACGCTCTGGAACGGATGTATCCTCGTCCTAGCCTTGGGTCGGGCATGTCCTCCGCGGCTGGCCCCATGCCCACCAGGGGGTGACAGGCCCGCTCTTTCCAGAAGCCTCCTGCATGGGGTCCGAGCACCCGGGGCCGGACTACCTAATTACCTGGCCACCCCAGCCCAACCCGAAGACCTGAAGCAGACCCGAACATCGGGCTGGGGGGGCACGAGCTTCACGTGTGTGTTTGTCACTGCTCCCCGACCCCCCCCCCACCCCACTGGAAATGCAGGGCAAATCGGGGCCTTCGGGTTGGGCTGGGGTGATTTGGTGGGGTAAGCGAGGGTCGGAGGATGGCACCGCAGCGCCGAGGCATCGCCGATGGATCGGCCGCAAATGGGAGGCGACCTAAGGTGGCTCCGTGGCAGGGGCTCCGTGGCTGACTCTCCGCAATGTTCTCCCCACCGAGCCGTATCGCCGATGCATCGGCGATGCGACGCGACGCGATCCCCCGCCCCCATCCACTCCGACCCCATCTGGGAGGGCAAGAACGCGAGGTGAGTCGAAGCAACGACGAGGATAAAAGCGAGTGAGGTAGATCCAGAATCTCTGAGACCAGGCGACTCGTCCTCGTCCCAGCCCAGTCCGACAAGGGGGGCGGGGGTGCAGGGCCTGGCCCCGTCGACTTCAGGTGGGGACGGGGACGATGCATCACCGCCAGGCCTTCTGGTGAATACCAGGACGGCCGCGGCCAGCAGAAACGACCACGCAAACGGGTAACACTGCCTCGCCCATCTCACCGCTCTGTCTACCCAGCACTGCCACCGAAGCTGAAGGGGCCCTGGGACACACAAATAAATACACACAAATAAAAATGTTCCCCATATTTTCCCATATTTTCTGGGTTTTTGTCTTCCCCCCCACTTCCCATATTCTCCCATACTTTCTTGGAAATCTACGATTAATTGTGTCTGTGTGTGTTTTCCCCTCCTGAGAAGCAATTGTCGAAGTGGGGGCGCTGGCTGGGCCCCGGCCCTGGGCCCACGGGGGCAGGGCCGGCCCCTGCCGCAGAGCCGCGCCCCGCCCTGCGCCCCTGGCGTGCCTCTGTCCTCGGCCGCAGCGGCCGGCGGAGCGCGAGCCCGGGCGCGGGCCTCCCCTCCCCACCCCCCCCGGAGCTCCGCCAAAGTCTGCTCCTCGTCTGCGTTCCTCCCCTCCCTTCCTGCTCCTCCTCCTCCTCCTCCTCCTCTTCCTCCTCCTCCTCCTCCTCCTCCCTCCCTCCCTCCCTCCCTCCCTCCCTCCCTCCCTCCCTCCCTCCCTCCCTCCCTCGCCGCCTGCTGGTCGCAGCCCGAATGACACGAGTGTGCCTCGTGATTCCCGTCCCTCAGGCGTGCTGTCCCTGCCTCAGGTACGATTCGCCGTGGCTAATGTGCTTACGTTACGGCCCCGCAGGAAGGCAGCAAAGGGAAAAGGCGACAGCAGGATCAGATGCCGCAACCAAGACGCGGCCGGCCTCAACATGCCTGGCAGAATGCTCGCTCTTGCACATCAGTTCTCGTCTCGCCAGTTGCATCTTGTCGGCACTCTTGAGACACGGCTATGCAGGAATGGTTGGACACCAGCAGGGGATTATGCCGTCATCACTGCCGCTGCCGAGGATCGAGGGAAGTTTGGAGTGGCCTTGTGGGTTAACATGCAGCATGAGTATGATGGTAGACACACTTTGGCGCGCCGTCATGTACGTGTGCTCAGTTTCTCGTCACGCCATCTGCTAGTTGCCATTCGTGCTCCTGGTCTCTGCATTGACGTGTTGGTTGGACATGCCCCTCACTCCCGTCGGCCACCAGACGAGATTCGAGGATGGTGGGATCAGGTTGCGTCAGTTCTCTCTGCTCGGGTTCAGCCAGCGCCGTTGTATTGCCTGCTTGATGCGAATGCCACGGTGGGCTCACAAGTGTCAGACTCAGTGGGTGATGTGGCGCCCGAGGTTGAAAACTTCAATGGAATGTGCTTCCATAAGTTTCTTCGGGATACCGAGCAGTGTGCAGTATCTACGTTTTTGCCGTCGTACTCTGGGGTACACGGCACATGGTTACCGCCTGGGGCCCAGGGTCAAGCACCTAGACGTCGCATCGACTACATTACCACCCCCATCGGACAGATCAACAGCGTGGTGCATCAGGGTGTCGATGTCGATCTCGATCTGTCACTACGTCGGGACGATCACTTCGTGGTCACAGCTTACATGCGTATGTGCCATGCCGATCGGTACGAACATGCCTTGCTATGGCCACGGTCTCGACACGACATATCGAAGTATGACGACCCTGACTGTCAGCAGGCCTTTGCACAGGCCCTACAGATGGTACCCCAGCCCCCCTTCTCCATGCACCCGGACGACCATGCAGCACATTTGAATGCGGCCTTGCTTGCGGCGGCTGAGTTAGCCTTCCCGCCTAAAGCGTCATTGTCCGACCGCACGCCACAACATAGCTGGCTCTCCCAGGGCTCTCTGGACCTCATGGATCAGCGCATGCATGGCCGTCGTGCACTACGATACCTAAGGTCCAGTTTGTCGCGACTGCTGCTTGCTACTGCCTTTGTGGCCTGGGCCTCGGACGGGGCCTCTGCGGGAGAATGGTTCTGTCACAGGATACACTGCAGGAGGTTCTCATATCGCGACGGGCCCTCCCACCTACCTCTACTACAGTGCTGCCGTAGGATTGCGCAGGCGACTGACAGCGTACTGGATGCGACGAAGGCTTTCATGGTCCCACTACAGTCGCCCAGCGGGAAAATCAGCCTACCCCCGTTTACGACCGACCATGTCGTCGGTTTGCGCTACGTTGGGCGTCTCCCCACGTTGCACGAGCTGGCTGAGGCCCCCAGGGACCTACGGTATGACCTGGATATGATGTTGCGGTTCTACCTGGCGTGGTCCGGAGTTTTTTGGGCACTCAATCTGGTCTTTCTTCGGGGGGCCGCGTACGTCATACAGACATCCACGGGACTTGACTCGGCTTGGCACTGTGCCAACATCGCCAAAGGGGTGCGCACAGCTTGGGACCGACGTCAGTTTGCCGAGGCATATGCCGCGCTGCGTCGGATCGGTGCAGGGTCTAAGAGACGTCGATTCGAACGAGTCCTTCCTGCATTACAGGATCTTGCAGGTCAATCGATCGACTCGGAACGACAGGTTGCACAGCGTTGGCAGCAGCACTTCGCAGGACTCGAGCACGCAGCTACGTTGCCCGTTACAGACGTGCCTACGTTCGCAGGACACTTTGGGCGTACCCCCTATGCGCGCATGTCTGCCGAGCCCGTCAGCGTGTCAGCTATACCCACCCTCGCCGAGTTCCAGTTCTCGTGCCGACAGGCCCGACGGTCTGCCCCAGGATGCGATGGCATTGCAGGCGGCCTCTTGAAGGCCCACCCGACATTGATCGCCGAATACTACTACCCTCTACAGCTCAAGTTTGCCCTTACACTGGTAGAGCCGATTCAATGGAAAGGTGGATTTTATCGGGACCTTATCAAGTCTGGGCAAGCCGACCCGACGAAGTGCTCCAGTTCCAGGCCCATTTTGGCCTCGTCACAACTCGGCAAGGCGTCTCGCAGATGCCTTCGGTCCCGACTACTACCATTTTTGGCCTCTGAGGCGGGGGAAACACAGTTCGGTGGGTTGCCAGGCCGAGGGACCACACATGCGTCTTTGGTGTTGCGAGTTGCACAGTCACTGGCCAAGATCAGACGGCAATCATTTGGTGCTCTCTTTCTGGACGTCGTACAGGCCTTCTACAGGGCCATTCGTGAGCTCGTGGTGCGTGCCCATCGCGATTCCGACCTCGACGACATATCGGTTGCCGCCATTGTTCGTGCAGCAGGCTTACCGCCATCCGCCATGCAGCAGCTAACCGACCGACTCCGACAGAGAGCTGCGGCTCTCACCCGATCCGACGTCGACCCTCACACCGTCGCCCAGGTCGAGCAGTGCTATCAGGCACCCTGGTTCGTGCGTGAAGGATCAGGACAGGTTTCGCTCCCTCAACGCTCCTTTTTCCCCGGCCAACCTCTCGCTGATGTGCTCTTCGAGATACAGATGGCTGAGTGTATGCAGGAGGTGCGTGAAAAGCTTATGACCGCTGGTTATCCCTACATGCTCCCGATGGCCACCCAGAGATCCCTCACAGCACTCAACGCCGAGGACCCCGATGACAGGCCCCCCGCAGAGCTCCCTTTGGTCGATAT